GTGTACACCGCTGCCCAGCCCGCCATCTCCACCTACAAGAAGGAGTACGTCAGCCAGCCTGCCGTGACCACCACCTACTCTGCCGCCCCCGCTGTCTCCTCCTACAAGCAGTCCTCCATCGTGAGCGCTATTAACCCTGCAGTGTCCACTTACGGCGCCTCCGCCCAGGTTACTGGTGTGCAGAAGGACTCTCTGCTCTACTCTCAGTCTGGTTCCCAGCAGTACGGCGGCTCTTACATGTCCCCCGGCAGCTACCACAACTCCGCTGACGCCATCTCTTCCATCGTCAAACTGTACAAGGACGAGGACGGCAGCGGTATCTACAAGTACGGGTAAGTGTCGTAATCGTTACAATATATGTTCTCCGTTTGTGCTATCTGAGGTTTCTATCACGTTTTTCTTGTCTCCTGCAGCTACGCTACCTCCAACGGCATCAACCACGATGTGCAGGGTCAGGTCCTGGCCGCCAGCACCAAGAGCAGCGAGGGCTCCTCGGCCGTCACCGGCTCTTACTCCTACGTTGGCCCCGATGGTGTTACCTACACCGTCAACTACATCGCCGACGAGCACGGTTTCCGTGCCACCGGCGACCACCTGCCCAAGCTGTCCCTGGAGCAGCAGAAGGCCATCGAAGAGGGCGCCAAGGACGCCGAACTGTACGACGAGCAGGGCAACCCCAAGCACTACTAGGCGTAAACAGATGACGATCTCTTTGTAAAAGACTGACGACAATTCTTTCATGACGTGTATAACTGACTTAGTTCTTTAATACTGTTTGCACGCGACCGGTGTGCCCCTAATGTTAGACTTCGGGTGGTGTGATGTCTAACGACTCTTACCGCGAGAGAGCCGTCACGACATGACTGTCCGAATTCCAAGATTGCTTCCACATCCTTGTGTGTTTTAATGTGACCATGGCTGTGTTATAAGTTGGACAATAAAAACGAAGAATGTCGCATTAAACCTTTGTATTTTTTGTTATTCCCAAATCATAGGGTAGTTCAAAATGTTACACCGTAGAAGTATACACACAACTCCTTCAGGCGAGTAAAAAAATTAACACACCTGGAAGTGTGCGCCAACACATGAATGTGCAAATTTGCTCACCTGCAAATGTGAATGACCATTCACACTATTGGAGCTGAGGAAATATCTACCTTTACAATTGCACTGTTTGCTCACCTTCAAGTATGTGAATTTCACTTACCTGCAGATGTGACATTTTCTACCCTTGGATTTCCAATGCACATTTTCTACATTTTTGTCTGAGCAATTTATGTTAAGTTTTGGGAATACAAATAACAGGTGGCTGACTCACGCCACTCACTTTCGTAGTATAGTCTACCGTGCACGGGTGCGGGCGGGTTTGTCTATCCTCGCTGACCTCGGCTCCTTCTCGCCCCGTGCGAGTAGGCATCACGCCTGCATGGGTGCATGCGGTACAGTATAACTACAAAAGTCGGAAGCGGAAGTCAGCCACCTGGTATTCTGTTTAGTGGAGTCAAGAAGGTGTGAGAGTCCAGGGAGGAACAAACGCCTGGTATCTAGGCACTGTACGGTTGTAGACTACGGCCGAGCCGGGCGGTTGGCCTACCCCCGAGTTGGCAGGGGCCCGGTCGGGTCAGGAGGGGAGCGAGCAAACAATTGTGCTCCTGAGCCTTGGACTTCCACTAAAGATGCAGAGTTACAGTAACGCTCTAACGCACTGCTTTCCCTACAAGATCTTGTGTCTAGGACACGGTCATCATACAATAAAGAGTTAATGTGAACATATCGCGTCCTGCCCCCTACGCCAATAAGTGGATATGACCTAATAGTCTCACACCAAATAACAGTCGCAAGTTTTATACTGCATGACTGTGACACTTACGTTGCCAGAGTTTTTTTTATCACAGACTGGCAAATAAGAGTCAATATGACGCGACTCGAGCAGGCAACCCAGTATTTAACACATGCTGATCTAGTTGGTTGGTGTAGTGAGTATTAGAGGTGTACGCGCGGGGTCGCAGCTTTTTGTCACCTTGCCCTGCTCAGAGTGGTGCGCTGTGGGTTTTCCGTTCTTTTGAGCAGCAGGGGAAAGTGAAGCACTTACTTAAGGTTTAAGGTGAAAGTTTCTGGAAATGTAGTGGTTTGTCCAAATTTTGGTGAAGTAAAAAGTTACTTACCGCCAGTGACCCGTATGTACCTTTTTGAAAAACGCAAATGACTTCATAGTGAGTTCCGTATTTATTGGGCAATGACTATCGCGGAACAAGCGATGACTGAGAAAGTGGAATAGCATGAAGCGATACCGAATAAGAACAAAATATTATTTATTAAGAAGTGTTAAGAAATAATAAAGGCGTTTCGGTATTGGAATACACGTTCCTCTGCCAAACCGCGGATATAACAGATCTCGTCGAGGTTGTATGGAAAAGAATGTGCGAAAGGTCAGAGGGTTTCGTTTTGTTGGTTGGCGGTTTATTTTGAAGACGAATTCTGGAGTTGTTTTATTACGTTTTTTTATTGCTGGCCGAGGATTGGTCGGCAGTGAATGATTCCACTCTTGTTTCGTGAATATTTTTGTCGAAGATAGCTGTGCGAGTAAGAAGACGAGCAGCTGGGGGTGTGTTTTCAAGGTAGCCCAATTTAGATATATTTGATTTTTATTTATTAAAGCTTCAGTCAATTTGTCGATAAAGTTCAGAAGGCAGTGCTAACTCAGAGGTATCACTACTCCCTGGCGGAGACACGCTGCGAGATACCCGCCCATGTCGTCCGCTGGTCAATATAAAGTCAGTACAATTTTTTCCTAATCGATTCCATCTAGAGCATTTTCGATAACCATAGGCGTAGCGAGATTCGTCATTTGGACAGATCGCTTCAGTGTCGGAGTTAATGGGAACTTCTTAGAACTGGCTGACGAGGTTGCCGTCCTGGTCGTACTTCTGGGGCTGGGCAGCGTTGAGCTCCAGAGAGCGCTGGATCTCTTCGGGGACCTGAGGAAGGTGGGCGCCGGAGGCACGGAAACCGAACTCGTCGGCGATCCAGTTGACGGTGTACACGACACCATCGGGGCCGGTGTAGGAGTAAGAACCCTCCTTGGCGGCGACGGGGCCGTCCTTAGCCTGGATGTCCTTCACGGAGCCGGTCTCAGCGGACTGGATGCCGTTCTCGGTCTGGAAGCTGCAAAAGGCGGGAAAGCCAACGTGAGATACTGCGAAGCCTGGCCGTCGATACATTTTAAAGGATCGGTCGTACAATACTGTTGCTATCGAGCCCCTTTCAAGCCTTTGCCGTGGGTTTACTTACTTCACACGGTAGATGCCGGCGGGGTCGAACTCCTGAACCTGGCTGAGGATCTTGTACTTGGGCTGGGCGGAGGCAGACACGCTGACGGAGTCGTACTGGGGCACGAAGGCGGTGCGGGAGACGACGGGGGCGGCGACGTGGTGGGCAGCGACGTGCTGGACGGACTGGTACACGGGCTGGTGCACGTGCTGGACGGACTGGTAGGCGGGGATCTCCTGCTCAACGTGACGGAGGAGGACGGGGGCGGCCTGCTGCTCGACGACGTGGTGCACCTGGCTGTAGACGGGGGCGCTCTTCACGACCACCTGCTGCTGGTACTGGGGGACGGACTTGACGACCACCTGCTGCTGGTACTGGGGCACAGACTGGTACTGGGACACAGTCTGGTACTGCTGCTGGTACTGGGGCACGGACTTGACGATGGTCTTGGAGACGACGGGGACGGACTGGCTCACCACGGAGGAGCGGGAGAAGCTCTGGGGGTTCACCTTGGTGGAGAAGTGGAAGATGTCGTCGTGGTACTCCTGGGGGCGGGCGGCGGCCACGGCCACGAGGGCAGCGATGATCTACAAAAGAGAAGACAAGAGCGTCAGCGAAATCAACAGCCACTATATCGCACTTTGCTTCAGCTCTAAGTATTTAAGTTTGGAGGTCTGGTGGCTCCAGTCGGGAGGGAAGCAAACGCCAGCGTTATCAGAGCGTGAGCGAGGTGCCCGAACACGTGCACAAGGTCGGCGCTGAGGTCGGCGCGGCCATGTACAGTAGCAATACTCGTTCGAGACTCGAGACCACTGCGTATGAATCAGGCTTCTTGGTGGGGGCACGGGGGGTGACGAGTATTCCACAAGAAGGCGATGGAGAGCACTTTCGCCGCGGCGCGAGGGGTGGGGCGCGGTCGAGGGTCGCTGACCAACACGAGGGCACTCACCAGGAATTTCATGGTTGCTGGGGTGTGTTGGTGAGACTGCCGAACTGTTGCGACTGTGACCATCCCCTTGAAGTCCAGCTCTTTTATACCGACCTCGTTCGGACAGTGAGGAAGGAGGGGGCGACACACGGAGGTGGACGAACACTGAGCGAGATTTTGGGAAAAAACAAAAAATTGACACCAGCATGGGACATCTGAAGCGAGCCGATCTATATTCGCGACCTGTTCTGGAGTAAGGACCCCCTCTACCTTACCGGTGGCGATGACCCCAAGGACGCCCGCTATGCTCATCCTCGCACGCGCGGCCGCGCTCCTCTCGGCTTGGCGTGTGGTTGTCCTGCTCCTCCTCCTCTTTATTCCCTCCGTTAATTCCCTTTCGAGAGCGAAACGTGAGCCTCCGATCCCAGCCAGTTTCGTGCAAATTGTGCCAATGTTTGGGTATCTTTGAACGTGCAGAGGTGCCCCCTTAAGTAAAGAGAAATTTTACTGCTTGTTGAATAGGTAAGAAGATGTCAAAACATTTCTCTTTACAATGGCCGCATGGTCGGTGCGCCTTGGATGAGCGCCAACACTGCTCCGAGCAGGTCTGTGCCGGCTCTGCCGCTCCTGCCGCGCCTCCTCTGTCCACCGCGCCCGGTCCGGCGGGCGAGGGGCGCCTGCGGGGTAGGCACCGGCGCGCCTCGGCTGTCAGGCACGCTGCCTACCCGCCGGCGCCCCCGCCACAGCCGCTTGCATGCCGGATAGAGTACAACGCGAACAGTTCGGATTTGAAGAGTCTCAAGCGATCGTTTTAGTCGGAAAATACCCGACCTACAGTTTTTCTTCGCACCAACGGAATTGAACGATACTTGCAATTAAAGATTTAAAAAAAAAAAAAAAAAAAAAAAACCGTTGGACTTGGATATACCGTATTCTCATCCGTCCTTTTAGACAATCCCGGCCAAAAGAGGCCTTGCGATCAGTCAAGTCAAGCCCTTCTCAACCATCTTTTTTTTGGTTATGTGTCGTATATGCAAGCGCAAGGGCGGCATTGCCTAATCGACCCTCACCATGGCGCCTTATGGTGCCGCGTACCGTGTGCTAGTATTGTTCGAATTGTATACTGTAACGTCTAAGATGTATGGTTCAAGATATCTGCCGATACCACGTCCGCTTTGGTAAGTCATTACCCCCTGCCAGTGTGACAAAGCGCCTGGCATAGCGCCATCAGACCTGAACTATCTGCGACTCATCTTCTGAAAACGAAGGCGGAGGGGGATTGTAAATTATGTAAGAAAAAGAATGTAGTGTGATTTTTATTTCTCTCTCCAGGTTGCCACCAATGAGGATGTAGTGCCCAGGGAATTTTTATTGCCATCCAACCAACCACATGACTCGCGGCCGCTAACAGGAGAGGGGTGGGGGGACCAATGAGCGGAGTCCCCTCGAAAATAACCAACATGAATCAGATCTTCCAAGCTGCCCTTAGTGTGATAGTCATACTCAATAGCGTTTCGTCACGGAAAATACATTGCGTTTTTAAAAGGGATAATTAGCAACAGCTCTGATACGAGAATTTCTGAGAAAATTCGCCACAAGATTTAGTAACTTTTTGTTTTATCAGATGATCCATTATTTCTTTCATTGATTTCATTTGCTGTCCTCTCCATTTTGTTTTCGATTGATAATGTTTTCTTCTCGTGTTAAATGTAAGAATTGGGAAACTTAGCGTAGATGGA